AGGAAAACAGCCTTATGGCAGCAAACTGTAAATGTGACTTAAAGAAAACATGTCTTTGGGCAGCTTTCTGCAGAGCTAGCTGTTGTCAGAGGATCTTGACAGGATCCAGCGTAGCAGGATTTCACTGTCATGAGGAGCTTCAGTAACACTGCTTCATGTGTCTAAGTAAAATGTGACATGTGTTGGCTTCTGTAGTACAGACCTGATGGCAACTTTTCTTTGCACAGGATAAACATAGCTTTAAGGTAAAGCTTCCTTTTGTTGGCAACTGATAGGCTGTTTGTGCCAGTTCAAAAAAAAATAAAAATCAATGTGTTTAAAGGCTCAGATTTGAAGGGTATTGTTGTCTATATTAAAATGGCAGTTGTGTGCTTAAATTTCCTTTCTCAATTGGAATAAAACTAAATAAGAGAAGTTTCTGGAGTCAAATAGAAAGCAACCCTGCAGAATGCATAGTTGCCGTCCGTAGAGATAACCTTTTATTATTGTCCACTTCTGTGTGCCAGTATGCTTTCTCTTGGTTCACTAACATTACATGGCTTCACACATTGATGGTAGTGTTCATTCCTTCACAAACTGTAAGTTTAGTTTATAGTGGTAAGGTTTCTCTTGTTTTTATACAGTCAGTGAATGTTCTGTGAAACCTGTGGGAGCTGTAGATGCATGTGGCATGGAAATCTAACCTGCTTCTGTACCAGTGGATGAGAAGGAAGGAGGAGAAACTTACGTAATAAAGAATCTTAACAGTATAGATTTAGCTGCCATTATGTAAATCTAAAGTTTCAAAAAGAATGCAGCTTGGAGCTTTTTTGGTAAGGGTAGTAAGTTAGGGATATCTTATTTAAGCAGTGCTGTTCTGGCCGAACTTGCCCATCACTAAGGAATACACACTTATCTGACAGACTGGTTATTCTGGGCCCAGAATGGAGAGGCTAAGGAGCTTATATAGCCTTTCAGGCAGCAGCATCTATCAAAATTCTGCTACCCTGACTGAACTCTCTAGCATTCAGGCTTGCCTGATTTAGTGGATACTCCTTTATCTCCTGACTTGGGGTAGGGAGAGAATGTTCTTCAAAAAGTGTATGTTCATATGTAGCCCTTTTTCTTCAGGAAAAGAAGTGGTCTGTCTGATGAGCTGTAAGCAGCTCTACTGTTCCATGTAGCTTTTACAAGCTTCTAAAATACAGTAATACTGCAACATAAGGCAAAACCATCTAAAACTGAAACACTTTAAAGCTCTCATGATAATCTAATTTCATGTGTTTTTTCAAGCTTTTGGGATATACCTCTATCATTCTCTCTTTCTAAAAAGAATTGCTGTTTTTCTTTTGTTGCTACTGAGTTCTCTACTGTGGTATGCTTCAGGAGGTGTGTTAAGATCTCTTACTGTGATAAAGGTTTGATAATTGGTTTAACAATTAGAATGTGTGCGGAAGACATACAGCTACTTTTAACAGAAACAGGAAAATCAAAATTGAATAAGCACGTATGTACTGCCTCTTAGCAAGAAAATACTTGAAGGACGTAGCAGGATAATTCAGGGACTAGATGGTAGCATTATTTCATGACTGTCCCTTAGGATATAGATAATGGTAAATGGAATTAGCCCAAAAATCTTCAGGTTTTGGTGTCTTTTTTTTTTTTTTTACTTATAAATTTCAAATTTGGATAAATATTTAAAATAGCATCATGTGAATGTCTTGCTGACTCAGTGACAGCTCAGCTTTTTCAGAGTTGTGCATTTTTCTGTCTTGGACTGTTAGGAAAAACTGCAAGCTACCTGTGTTCTATGACTGGGAATAACTGGTTTAAAATCCAGGAGTTGTTTGATTGTCTGACATCTGTTGGTGATGGTTTGTGATACCTTTCATGCGTTAAGCAAAAAATGATGTAAGGACTTAAGTCGGAGATAAATGGATATACTTAGCATTTTGCTCATTATAGAGTGAATAAAAGCTGAAATAATACATTTAAAGTTTGTGAAATTCAAGTACTGCAATAGCTGAACCCTCAGTTTGTCCATCTTCTGCAGGGTGTAGCATAGTGAATCAACTGTTAGTCTTAGTTGCTAGGTATAACTGTAGTCTTGTTACTGTAAGACATGATGAGGTAGCTCAGTGGAACTGAGGGCAGGGGGAACCAGATCTAGGAACAACATAGGATTAATTGTTCCTTGTTCCCTCACTTTCTAGGTGACAAGGCTCTGGATGGTTACAGTAAGAAGAAATATGTCTGCAAACTGCTTTTCATCTTTCTCCTGGGGCATGACATTGACTTTGGTCACATGGAAGCTGTAAACTTGCTCAGTTCCAATAGATATACAGAGAAACAAATTGTGAGTAATGCTGTTTCTATAAAAGATAAGCTGTTCTGTCCAATATCCTGCTTCAGCTGTATAGTCTGTGAAGGACTGTTTCATTCTTCCCCCTAACCCCCCTGCCTTATTTTGGATCTAGCAGTGATTCTGAAATTTAAACACCTTTGGGCACAGGGAATCTTGTACTAATTGTAAAAGCTAAAACATGCACACTGCTTAAAATTATTGCTCTTGTTAAGAAACTGCCTTGAGTCTTTCATTAAACAATATGTAACCTTTTAATTTTCAGAATATCTCTTTAAATCTTCCTAGGTAAGGTTGTGTTTATTGGGTATGTGTAACTTACTAGTGTCTGAATTAATGAGCCAAATTCTTGATTTGCTCCCATTTATCTAAAATTATCTTCTGAGTATATGCTGAAATAGTTTGATGAAACACTTAAACTGAGAAATTAAAGTAACACTAAACTTACTCATTTTTATTTACTTCACTTAATCTTCCTAGCCTTTGCTCTGCTATCTAAATACCTATTTCTGCCTGTATGTTTGGTGTCGGAGGAGAACTGTATGTCTCAAAGAATTACTTGTGGCATTAAGAGAAAGTGTAATTTAAGTCGGCTAAAATAAATTTTCATTTTCCTTTTTCTGAATCACAGGGATATCTCTTCATCTCCGTACTAGTGAACTCTAACAGTGAGCTGATTCGCTTGATAAACAATGCGATCAAGAATGATCTGGCCAGCCGCAACCCCACCTTCATGGGGCTTGCTCTGCATTGTATTGCTAATGTGGGTAGCCGGGAGATGGCGGAAGCATTTGCTGGAGAAATTCCAAAAATACTTGTAGCTGGGTAGGTATGATACGTCTTCTTTGAACACAACACCAACAAACCTTTTCAGCAACTTGGTTCCATTGCAGAAGCTTAATCCCTGCTTAGGGCTATACAGCCCTGGGCTTGCAGTGCAAATAATGACAATTTCCAGTAACTGCAGATACTTTAATGTACCTGAGCATGGAGTTGCTTGTATAAGTGTACAAATTCAATATGGAAATTCTAGCTTTTTGTGTAAAATTAATAAGTGCAACATATTCCCCAGGTGTTTGTTAAAATTTCCTCTTTTTTTTTTTTTTTTTTTTTTTTTTCCCCAAGTTGCTCAGCTACTTAAATAATAACATTTTTAAAAAGACAATGATGTTCTATTATTGCTGGGAGCTAATAAGGCTTTAAAGAAGAGTTCTAGGTAACTGTTACTTGGCTTAGTTAATAAGCTTTCTGCAATCTGAGAACCTTCAGATTGCCTTCAGTTCTGCATACAAGGGACAAAAGCTTTTGAAAGCAGTCAGTGAACTATTTTTTCTGTCTTAAGAAGAAGCATTTCAGATACTGAAACACTTTCCTTCCAGTTCTCCTGCAGAAGACCAATTGCGAATCAAATACTAAGAGTTTGTAGAAACTTCTCTTAAGCAGCTGAAAGGTGTTTAACAACTCCAACCTGTCACTCTGCCTTTTCCTGGTTTGGTTTTTTTTGGCGGTGTTTTTTTTTTTTTCCCCCAAGGAAAAAAAATCTTTTGCAAAGATACTTTCCTTCCTTAGGAGAGGAAGGTATCTTTGATCCACATCTCCCTACCATGATGGGATGGGATGAAGCGTTTGCTCTTGAGTACCATTTTATCGGGAAAATAGTATAACAGGAGATATTTAATTCCCCTGTTATAAATATAGAAGACTCTATTCCTTTGCTGCTCAAGCCATAGTTTGAAGGCCACAGCAGATAGACAGACATGGCTGAATATCTACTTTTCCCTCTGGCCATATTGCTTCTGAATATCTACTTTTCCCTCTGGCCATATTGCTTCCGAAGAAGGGGAAAAAAGAACAACCCAACCTCCAACCCTCCACTCTCCCTGCCCCCCCCTTTTGCTCTGGTTCTTCTAATGTTAATTCAGACATCTAGTAAAGTTATGGCAGCAAAATTTAAATGTGACTTAAAGAAAACATGTCTTTGGGCAGCTTTCTGCAGAGCTAGCTGTTGTCAGAGGATCTTGACAGGATCCAGCGTAGCAGGATTTCACTGTCATGAGGAGCTTCAGTAACACTGCTTCATGTGTCTAAGTAAAATGTGACATGTGTTGGCTTCTGTAGTACAGACCTGATGGCAACTTTTCTTTGCACAGGATAAACATAGCTTTAAGGTAAAGCTTCCTTTTGTTGGCAACTGATAGGCTGTTTGTGCCAGTTCAAAAAAAAATAAAAATCAATGTGTTTAAAGGCTCAGATTTGAAGGGTATTGTTGTCTATATTAAAATGGCAGTTGTGTGCTTAAATTTCCTTTCTCAATTGGAATAAAACTAAATAAGAGAAGTTTCTGGAGTCAAATAGAAAGCAACCCTGCAGAATGCATAGTTGCCGTCCGTAGAGATAACCTTTTATTATTGTCCACTTCTGTGTGCCAGTATGCTTTCTCTTGGTTCACTAACATTACATGGCTTCACACATTGATGGTAGTGTTCATTCCTTCACAAACTGTAAGTTTAGTTTATAGTGGTAAGGTTTCTCTTGTTTTTATACAGTCAGTGAATGTTCTGTGAAACCTGTGGGAGCTGTAGATGCATGTGGCATGGAAATCTAACCTGCTTCTGTACCAGTGGATGAGAAGGAAGGAGGAGAAACTTACGTAATAAAGAATCTTAACAGTATAGATTTAGCTGCCATTATGTAAATCTAAAGTTTCAAAAAGAATGCAGCTTGGAGCTTTTTTGGTAAGGGTAGTAAGTTAGGGATATCTTATTTAAGCAGTGCTGTTCTGGCCGAACTTGCCCATCACTAAGGAATACACACTTATCTGACAGACTGGTTATTCTGGGCCCAGAATGGAGAGGCTAAGGAGCTTATATAGCCTTTCAGGCAGCAGCATCTATCAAAATTCTGCTACCCTGACTGAACTCTCTAGCATTCAGGCTTGCCTGATTTAGTGGATACTCCTTTATCTCCTGACTTGGGGTAGGGAGAGAATGTTCTTCAAAAAGTGTATGTTCATATGTAGCCCTTTTTCTTCAGGAAAAGAAGTGGTCTGTCTGATGAGCTGTAAGCAGCTCTACTGTTCCATGTAGCTTTTACAAGCTTCTAAAATACAGTAATACTGCAACATAAGGCAAAACCATCTAAAACTGAAACACTTTAAAGCTCTCATGATAATCTAATTTCATGTGTTTTTTCAAGCTTTTGGGATATACCTCTATCATTCTCTCTTTCTAAAAAGAATTGCTGTTTTTCTTTTGTTGCTACTGAGTTCTCTACTGTGGTATGCTTCAGGAGGTGTGTTAAGATCTCTTACTGTGATAAAGGTTTGATAATTGGTTTAACAATTAGAATGTGTGCGGAAGACATACAGCTACTTTTAACAGAAACAGGAAAATCAAAATTGAATAAGCACGTATGTACTGCCTCTTAGCAAGAAAATACTTGAAGGACGTAGCAGGATAATTCAGGGACTAGATGGTAGCATTATTTCATGACTGTCCCTTAGGATATAGATAATGGTAAATGGAATTAGCCCAAAAATCTTCAGGTTTTGGTGTCTTTTTTTTTTTTTTTACTTATAAATTTCAAATTTGGATAAATATTTAAAATAGCATCATGTGAATGTCTTGCTGACTCAGTGACAGCTCAGCTTTTTCAGAGTTGTGCATTTTTCTGTCTTGGACTGTTAGGAAAAACTGCAAGCTACCTGTGTTCTATGACTGGGAATAACTGGTTTAAAATCCAGGAGTTGTTTGATTGTCTGACATCTGTTGGTGATGGTTTGTGATACCTTTCATGCGTTAAGCAAAAAATGATGTAAGGACTTAAGTCGGAGATAAATGGATATACTTAGCATTTTGCTCATTATAGAGTGAATAAAAGCTGAAATAATACATTTAAAGTTTGTGAAATTCAAGTACTGCAATAGCTGAACCCTCAGTTTGTCCATCTTCTGCAGGGTGTAGCATAGTGAATCAACTGTTAGTCTTAGTTGCTAGGTATAACTGTAGTCTTGTTACTGTAAGACATGATGAGGTAGCTCAGTGGAACTGAGGGCAGGGGGAACCAGATCTAGGAACAACATAGGATTAATTGTTCCTTGTTCCCTCACTTTCTAGGTGACAAGGCTCTGGATGGTTACAGTAAGAAGAAATATGTCTGCAAACTGCTTTTCATCTTTCTCCTGGGGCATGACATTGACTTTGGTCACATGGAAGCTGTAAACTTGCTCAGTTCCAATAGATATACAGAGAAACAAATTGTGAGTAATGCTGTTTCTATAAAAGATAAGCTGTTCTGTCCAATATCCTGCTTCAGCTGTATAGTCTGTGAAGGACTGTTTCATTCTTCCCCCTAACCCCCCTGCCTTATTTTGGATCTAGCAGTGATTCTGAAATTTAAACACCTTTGGGCACAGGGAATCTTGTACTAATTGTAAAAGCTAAAACATGCACACTGCTTAAAATTATTGCTCTTGTTAAGAAACTGCCTTGAGTCTTTCATTAAACAATATGTAACCTTTTAATTTTCAGAATATCTCTTTAAATCTTCCTAGGTAAGGTTGTGTTTATTGGGTATGTGTAACTTACTAGTGTCTGAATTAATGAGCCAAATTCTTGATTTGCTCCCATTTATCTAAAATTATCTTCTGAGTATATGCTGAAATAGTTTGATGAAACACTTAAACTGAGAAATTAAAGTAACACTAAACTTACTCATTTTTATTTACTTCACTTAATCTTCCTAGCCTTTGCTCTGCTATCTAAATACCTATTTCTGCCTGTATGTTTGGTGTCGGAGGAGAACTGTATGTCTCAAAGAATTACTTGTGGCATTAAGAGAAAGTGTAATTTAAGTCGGCTAAAATAAATTTTCATTTTCCTTTTTCTGAATCACAGGGATATCTCTTCATCTCCGTACTAGTGAACTCTAACAGTGAGCTGATTCGCTTGATAAACAATGCGATCAAGAATGATCTGGCCAGCCGCAACCCCACCTTCATGGGGCTTGCTCTGCATTGTATTGCTAATGTGGGTAGCCGGGAGATGGCGGAAGCATTTGCTGGAGAAATTCCAAAAATACTTGTAGCTGGGTAGGTATGATACGTCTTCTTTGAACACAACACCAACAAACCTTTTCAGCAACTTGGTTCCATTGCAGAAGCTTAATCCCTGCTTAGGGCTATACAGCCCTGGGCTTGCAGTGCAAATAATGACAATTTCCAGTAACTGCAGATACTTTAATGTACCTGAGCATGGAGTTGCTTGTATAAGTGTACAAATTCAATATGGAAATTAAGACTTTGTCAGTATCTTGAGTAGGCTTTTACAGCTTTGTTGTGATTGAGTTTTTGTTCTGTATAAATAGAAGGCAGTGAACACCCCTGAAATGTGTATGTTTTACTTTCCTTCTCTCTCTTGATGAACAGAAGAAAAAATGAACCTAAGTAGATGTTTATACTAGAAATTTTGTTACAACTGAACCTCTTCTTTAAATGGTCCAGACTTCATAAGGAGTGTGAGAATAATTCTTTTGTGTGAGCTTTCTTCCTTCCTCTTATAGCCATGTAAACAGCAATACGTGGCAAATAGTCACCACCAACAACTTTCTAACTTTCCCTCTGTATTGCTAGAAGTCTCTACACAGACCTGGCAAATGTCTGCAGCTGTAGTTAAGTAAATCTAAAATGAAACTTGTGATTGCAGGGCTAATTTATTTTGAAACTTAAAATGTCCAAGTGCAAGCAGTGCATTTAAACTCTCTTATGGATATGAAATGTTTTGGAATATGCATGTATTATCTTGTTTTATCACAAACTAATGTCTTACCCTAGTACAAAAAGTAACGTTGTGTAAGAACTGTATTAATACTCTAAATGTTGAGCACTGGAGCTTGCAAATATTGGAAATGTGCTTACTTATGCAACACATTCTGACTGTCTATTATGTGCACTGAGTTGGTGACAAGAGGAAGGATATAACGTGATACCTAGTTGTGGCAGAAGTCTTAGGAAATACTTCTGAACTCTTGAAATAGTGTCTCTATAATGCCACCCTTGAATACTGTTACTATTTTGCAGAGCTGAAATGTAGTATGGGCCAGAAAGAGAAGAATAAGTAGCTAGCACCTGATGCTCAGTATGGGTCTGGTCTGGTGGAGGAAATGAGGGAGAATCTATCCTGTAATTCCACCTTTCTCAGAGATGGAATTGCCTATGTAAGCACACATGTTTAGAGATGGCACATTTTGGGGCCCTGTCAGGCTTGTTGCTGTCCTGTCCTGCACTGCCTTTGCCAGGTGCTATTCTCCATGTAGCATAGTGGAGACAGCACTGTGATGATGAGTCATGGATTTTAATAAGATAACCTTAAAACGTTTGAAAGATTTCCCTTGGGGTCATCAATCACAGCAGAGCACAGCACCTTCAGTTCAGACTTGTTTGAACTTCGAGCTGCGTTTGTGTTCTGAAATCAGTCTTCAGGGCCTTATTCCTTCTGCATTTCTAAGAGAATATATATAAAATGTGTATGTGTACATGTCATATCCAAGTGACCTATGCAGAATGAGCACTGTCAGTTACATTTGCAACTTTAGCATAGCTCCCTTGGCTTGAATATAAATTGGAGGGGAGGAGTAGGTTTGGTTTTCGTTTGGGGTTTTTGGGGTTATTTTTATTGTGGTGGTTTTGTTGTTTTGGTTTTTTTTTTAACTGAGGTACAGTTTGATCTCATGGAAACTGGTAAATTCGTAAAGAATAGGTGGACTGAACTTTGACTGGGGATGTGGAGATTTCTGAATGTTTAACCAAAATTGTACGGTATAAACTGCCTCTTAAAACTTTCAGTGCTGATGCTCTGTACATTTTTTTAGCTGTTGTTTGTGCAACATACAAAATGGTCAGTTGACTGCTTTGTGAAAGGGAGTTCACTGAACTAGAATAGTAACATGTTGCTCTTAAAATAGTCCATTTCTGTGCCAGCAGCACGGATGGCAAGGTGAATAGATATTTGTAGGTTAAATGCTTGGTGATAGCAAGCAGACTTGCATGCTAGCTGTAGGTACTGAAGCTGTTCAATAGATCATGATTTGTATCTGATATGCAGGACCTATCAGGATGTCCAGCTTTGGTTGCGTGCGTAATATAGTGTACCTTAATTGTTTGACTTGAGTCAGTTTGGAAGAAGCTTGTTCTCGTGATTAGATGAGCTTGTGCTCATCTAATGAGGAACTTTAATTCTGATAAAAAGTTGTGAAATGTCACTCTTAAGTTGCGAAGAACCATTATAGAGGCTACTAGATATATGTAAGGATTGAAAACTTGACTACGTAAACTTACTGGACAAAATTAAGGACAAATACTGTAACATAGGAAGAATTTAGTGAACTTCTGCTGTTGAAAAAATGCTACCTAGCTAGGGATGCTGAGTCAGTGCAAAGACTAGCATAATGCTGGCCTCCAAGTATTGCTGTGACTTAACCACTGTGACTTCATCACTGTATTTAAAATCCATATTTATGTCTTGCAGGGATACTATGGATAGTGTGAAGCAGAGTGCTGCCTTATGCTTGCTGCGTTTATATAGAACTTCTCCTGACCTTGTCCCCATGGGAGACTGGACATCTAGAGTGGTGCATCTCCTCAATGACCAGCACTTGGTAAATCAGCTTCATTATGCTTCTTGGGCCTACTCTGTATAGAGAATGATCTAACTTCTGCTGTTGAATACGCTGTTCATTTATTTCTTTTCAAGTCTTTCAAGCAAGTGGGTTGCTGTTTTCTTCAGGCTTGGGGAAAGAAATGGAAGATATCCTTTTTTAGTTGCTGTATATATTTTTAATAAAGCCTTATTTACCTTTTTCTTCGAGATACAAGAATGGTATGCACAAGTTCTTCTTTTGCTCTGGCTGTAAATAAATTAATCTTGTGCCTTGTAATCCGAAGTCATATTGCATAGGTATAATACTAATTTTCCTAGGCCTTTTAAGATTAGACCTATGCTAAAAATGCAAGCCCTGATTTCTCAGTACTTGGACTTCCTTGTCCTGTGGTGTCCATGTTGTCATTCTTACCTTGCTGGTTCAGAAAAGCCTGTTGCTCTGGATAAGCATTTTCCCCCTGTCTAGTTACTTTATGAAAGTAAGGCTATTAAGACCTGTGCTTCTAGCAGTAATAAGAGTGGGTTAGTTTGCAGTAATATAAAATGCTTGTGTTATGCAAAGCCCTCTCTTTATGTTGGGTTGTCAGAATTCTTTCTTGGGTGATCTGCTGCATCCTATTTCTTCTACTCATGCTTCTCTTGTGTAGTAAGACAGTTTGCATCCAGGCTTTATTTCAATACAGCTCCCTGTTATTTTAGATGTACTATCCCAACATGAGACAAAGCTAATAGAAAAATGGCATTAAATGCTCTGCAGGCATGGCAGTATCATGTTGTTGAAAATGCTGTTGGATTTCAAAGATGTGCGATCAGTCTACCTGCTAGCCAAATAAAGGGCTTTTTAATGTGGGGCTTTGTCAAGGGGATAAACTTAGTCTTGTCGTACAGTAAAAAAATACTCGAAGTGTTAAACGCTTGAGGTGTTCATGGGCAGCATCTTAAACTACTACAAAATTTAATGTATTGTTTTGGTTTTTTTTCTAGGGTGTGGTTACTGCAGCTACAAGTCTGATCACAACTTTGGCACAGAAGAACCCAGAAGAGTTTAAAACTTCAGTCTCCTTGGCAGTGTCTAGATTAAGCAGAGTGAGTCCAATGATAACCCTGATAATTCTTCACTGTTGCTTAATTTACTCGGCTTTCTGGGTCAGGTTAGCTTACTGTTGCTTATTTATTCAGCTTTCTAGGTCAGATTAGTTTAGTTTGCCATTAAAAGTGAAGATGATTCAGTTTCACTTCAGACAGCTGGTTCAACTAATCTCTTTTAACACTTGTTGCTTACCCGGGCAGAAAACTCTACTAGCTTGCCCAAACTTTCTTGATGTCGTCCTTGCTATGCTACCAGACTATGTAGCAAGCAGGTGTCTGCCTACTGCCTGCTACTTGTATTTGAAAGGATCTTTATGATGCAGTTGAGTTTTTAATCCTCATATTACTAGAACACCAAAGAGTAGTTGGATCAAAGACCGATTCTGCAAACTTCTGCACAGAACCCTCAAAAATACAGCCCATAATTTTAACTTTATCTAAGCTTCTAACAAGATGAGTCATCTTCCTATTCTCTCTTTTGAGCTGGTGCTAGGTTAATACTCATGAGCATTTGATATTCTGTAAACGGATGTAGGGGGTTAAGCAGGGGCAGGGGGGGCAGGAAGGAGGGGAGAGACATTTCTGTAAGTTAGCATCTTCATGCTGGAAAACTTAGGTTACTGTTTGATTTTTGTCTTTCGGAAGGTATGCAAGACATGGGAGGATACTAATTCACAAATGTATTTTAGACCCAGATTTATGCGGTGTTGTACCCAAAATTTCTTTGAACTACAAGTGATTTCTTTTCAAATATGAGATTTTGTTTAATACTTAAAAGGAAGGGAGTGCTCAGGGAAGCACATAGCTGTTCTGTAACAGAGCAGCAAGATTAAATACATTTCTTTGAGCAAAGCTAGTGCCAAACTCATGCTTACCCTAGAATCAAAGGGGAAAAAGAAATCCATGAAGAGGGGCACTCCTTCTGAAACCTAATCTAATCCTTATCACATTTTGCTGTGCATATAAACTTCTTCTGTGAAAGCTGTCTGTTCTTTACTCTGGACTATGAATATTACTGAAGGTGTTAGTTTGTCCTTCTGCTTTAGTTCAATCTGTCATAGCACCTTGTGCTTGAATTTCAAGTTCACCTGTCAGCAAGTCAACTATAATGCTATATTTAAGCTTTCTGTTGGCTGTATCTATGAATTGCTGAACCAAAGAAAATCAAGCTTCAAGTTAAACATTTTAGTGTTGCAAGATGGTCATCTTCATTCTTAAGAAAAGCAAGTATGCTTTCAGGAAGAGACTTCCTAGACTACTATGTCTTTAAATCTGAATTTCTATTACTAGGGAACCTGATGGTATACTCATGACAACTTGCGCCTAATTAATTTACTGAATTAAACATTGCTAGTGACATAGTTTTGTAAGCCTCTGTCAAAGGTGACCTACACTGTTCTTTGGGTCCTTCTCATGATTGTGCATCGCTTAAGTCCAGTAGCTGACATGCTGTTTGCTTATTTTACAGATTGTAACTTCTGCATCAACGGATCTTCAGGACTATACGTACTACTTTGTTCCTGCTCCTTGGTTATCTGTGAAACTTCTGAGGCTGTTACAGTGCTATCCACCTCCAGGTAATGCACAAATCGCAACAGTGGTCATCTCTTATGCAGTACAGTATCTTCAAAGAGCTACTGTGCTGTAGTGTTGCCATAACTTGGAGTGCAAGCACATTGCCTTAACACAAGGATACTGAAATGATCTGAGGGCTGGAGCACCTCTCCTATGAGCTGAGAGAGTTGGGACTCTTCAGCCTGGAGAAGAGAACGCTGCGGGGAGACCTGATTGCAGCCTTTCAGTGCTTAAAGGGGGCCTATAGGAAAGATGGGGAAAATCTTTTTAGCAGGGCTACCTGTGACAGGAGAAGGGGTAATGGTTTTAAACTGAAGCAGGGTAGGTTTAGACTAGCTCTAAGGAAGAAATTCTTTACAATGAGGGTGGTGAAACACTGAAACGGGTTGCCCAGAGAGGTAGTGGAGGTCCTATCCCTGGAAACATTCAAGGCCAGGTTGGATGGGGCTCTGAGCAACCTCATCTAGTTAGTGGTGTCCCTGCTCCCTGCCGGGGGGGTTGGACTGGGTGACCTCTAGCGGTCCCTTCCAACCCAAAGCATTCTATGATTCTATGAAGTCTGTACTACTGAGTATTTCAGATTGTTAAAATCAAACACAACATAACTCAAAGGGGGCTACATAGCTTGGGGCGAAGTGTCATACCGATGTGCATCTTCCAAACCAGTTGTAGCTGCCATTTTAATCATTCCTTAATGTTATCAACTGTATCAAAGCCTCGAAATATATTATAGTACAGATTGTGTTTGGCTTTTGTTCTCAACCAAATAGAACTATGTCTTAGAATTCTTTCGCCAATTGTATATTGGGGGGAGGTGAACTGTCTTTTAATGTATCGGAATACTTCAGATTTAGCATGGTGGAAGGCCTAAATTAAGGATTAGGGTGTTGAGCAAAATGAAGTTGTCCAACGGCTTGTTCTTCTCCAGAAGACCCTGCGGTACGTGGTCGTCTAACAGAATGCCTGGAAACTATTCTTAACAAAGCACAGGAGCCACCAAAGTCAAAAAAAGTGCAACACTCAAATGCAAAGAATGCTGTGCTTTTTGAGGCAATAAGCTTAATTATACATCATGACAGGTGAGCCGTGAGAACACTTGTATTATGAGAGGATTTTAAGTGAAAAGCTGTGGCTTTGTCTTGAACACTAGACGGAATTTAACTGGGAGGGGAAGCAGGGGAGAACAGAATATGAAATTGCTTGCTAGATTGGAACACAGCCATGGCAATGGAATTGAACAGTATTCATGAACTGTGTTGCTGTCAGCATATTTTTAATTGCTTTGTTTCTTGCTGCTGCTTTTTTTTTTTTTTGGTGTTTTGTATTGACCCCACCACTCTAATCCAACAGAGATTATTTGCTCACAGTGTCTGAGTTTTTATTTTACCAGTAGGGCATTCTAGCAGACACTTTAAGACATTTTAAGACATTTCCACTGCAGAAATAGTATTCTGTATTGGGTGTTCTCAAACCTGTTGCTTTTAACACTTTCACTTTCTCTCTTGTTCTGTGCAGTGAGCCAAATCTACTAGTCCGTGCCTGTAACCAGCTAGGTCAGTTCTTGCAGCACCGAGAAACTAATTTGCGTTACCTAGCACTGGAAAGCATGTGCACGCTTGCCAGCTCTGAATTCTCACATGAGGCTGTGAAAACACACATAGAAACAGTTATCAATGCATTGAAGGTAAATATTTAAGTGTGCGGTCTGTTTTGAATGTTGTCTTCTCCCCTGCCTCAATACCCTCTCCTCCACTACCCCAAGCCCTCCATCCCCATTTAAGCTATTAATGCTTGGGGACCAAATGAGTTATTCTCAGAAGTCTGCTTTAGTTTTTTTACTTTAATCCTGCAAAATCTTGCTATGCTGACAATGATAGAGGTCAGCTTTAGTTTATTTCTGCAGCTTACTAGTAAATCTGGTATTTGTAACTGTGGCCCCTGTAACGCTTTGGTATCTCCTCAAGCTGTAGACTGAAGATGAACAATTCTTTCAAAATGTGGAATTTCAAACTGGAGAATGCTGGGAAGACTTTGTTTTATTACTGTCTTTCTCATATCAAACACTATTCCTTCACTGAAGTAGCTTATGGGGTGCAGTAGAGCAGATCAACTTCCACTGCAGAATCAAAAAGTCAGGAAATCAGAAAGACGTGTTCCCAGGCCATGTTTATGTGAAAAAGCAGAAGTTGAAAGAGGAAGACTTATTTGCATGTAAACGTACTTGCACACTTCAGTGTTTACATGTATTGTTTTCTTCCAAGCTAATGCTGTAGCATATTAATACATTTGTCTGACTTCAAAGTGCATATCTGTTCTAGCTGGGCTTCTGTTGATATAAGGCAAGCCCAACACTAAACCTGCAGGTAGCTAATTGCCCATTGGCCTGGTGACAACTTGACAATTTCAGCCAGTTACTAGTGCGTTTGTGGCCAATGGTGCCAGTTACCCAGTGCACAGTGGACCACGAACTCATTCACCCTAGTTAGGGTAATTCTGTACAGACTCCTTCATCCTTTCAGCACTTGCTGAAGATTTGAATACATATAATACATACTCAAGAAACAAAACCTGATGATTTGAATTTTTGTAATATTATCTAAAAGCAGGAAGCTGAGTCTCCAATGACCTCTTCCTAGGTGACTGAAAGAGAATAGCATGAGAAGCTCATAGCTTATGTGAAGGGTATATCTGAGTTTATTCTGCATCTGAAAGATTATGAAAATGCATTTGTTTTAAATTCGACTATGGATTATGGCAAGCTTCACCTCTTCAGTAAGTTGCATGTACTTTCCAAATAAAGATGAAGTCATCTTGACCTTTTGCTGTGTGTCCTTTTGCAGACTGAAAGAGATGTAAGTGTACGACAAAGAGCTGTAGATCTCCTGTACGCCATGTGTGACCGAAGCAATGCCCAGCAGATTGTGGCTGAAATGCTGAATTACTTGGAGACTGCCGATTATTCCATTAGAGAAGAAATTGTGAGATATTTGTTTCCTTAATTTTTTCATAGCTGGCTTTAGCACCATATGTATCATCGATTGATTAGGATGCTGAATAGCCTGTGTTAGAGATACGTTTTCATGGTGGTTTAAAAAAACCCCAAAATCAACACACACACACCACAGCCCCCCAGCCCAAACCCTAAGTTTGTAGTCTAACAGCAAATCAGCAAATAATGTTCTTCATTTAGGTTAAACTAATGGGGGGGACAGGGACACCACTTGGAAACTAGGAATTTTAAAACCTAATCTTGGTCTTCAGGGCATTGCATATAGAAAGTGAAGTGAATTTTATCAATTGTTGAGCAAATATAATCTCTAGATCTGAGGATTATGTCCTACTGTAGTCAGCTGTCTTAATAGCTTCAAAAATTAGTGTCATAAATACTTATTTGTAGGTAGAACTTCATACTGTGAATGCTGTGAGAACATTCTATCAGTGTAAGGATTCCCAAAACCAATACCTTATAACCAGCTAAAAGAGAGGCATGATACCAATCTTTTTCCTCCCAGCAGGGAAAAAATGCAAAAGTTGAAATAATCACTTAACAACCTTCCCAGAATGGTAGCCAAAACCTGTACTTAGGGTAATTATTTAGCTTAATTAGGTGCTCAAGTTTCTTGATCAGAGAAGTTAACATAGAATACAGTGTTAGTTGATTTACCTCTTGTACTGTCTTGTTGCTGTTGGCAGATAATGTGAATTTCATTCTGTTCATTTACTACTCTTGAAAAAATAGGTCAGTATAAATGCAACTGATAAATTATGTAGAGGTCTCTTCCTATGCTAATTGTTTGCTTTAGCATATAGGAGTTGTAGTATGACTTGAAAAAGGCAGCTATATTTTGGTGACTGTGGTCTGTCTCTGCTAGCTTGAGTTTTCACTTCTTTTTTTTAAGACATCTCCAATTTCCTACTTTGTCCTGTCTCAGTGATGGTTTAGATGGTGTTTTTATAGCAAACAAAAAATGTTCGATAAATTGCTCTTGACTGCTTAGGTACACAGTTGAAAAGCCACAGATGCAACGTATTTGAATGCATTGTGGAGAAAGCATTATGTACCTGGCAACTGGTGTGTTCTGGCACAGAATTTCAATGTTCATCTTTTCCCTCGGCTGTGGGAGCAAGTGAGCAAGCTGACGCATCTGAAACTGAGGCTTCTGGGCTACCATGGAGTATCACTAGGTGTATATGAAACAATTTTGATACACAGCTTATAGTAGAAGCTAGTCAACCTTCTTTGTTCTCTTATGTGTGTTCAGGTTCTGAAAGTTGCAATTCTAGCTGAGAAGTATGCAGTGGACTACACCTGGTATGTGGATACAATCTTGAATCTGATTCGCATTGCTGGTGACTATGTCAGTGAAGAAGTGTGGTATCGAGTTATTCAGATTGTCATCAACAGGGATGATGTTCAAGGGTATGCAGCAAAGACTGTTTTTGAGGTGAGAATTACTTTTCAATTTGCTTTCAAAATGAGGTAGGAATTAAGTAAACACCGTATGATTTAGCAGGTGTGTGTGCTTCCCCGAGTGAGGAGGGGAGTAAAAATATGATCCTCAATATTTCAACAAGATGCTGCTGAAGCTTTCTGTAAAACCAGCATCACAGATTTTCAGAGCTAGAGACTATTACGTTGATGAGAAGCTTCTCTGGCTGAAGTAATGTAGAATATACTTTGTAGTGTTCTGGTTTCAGTGAGGGTGGGTTATTCTGGGGTTTTTGTTATTTTGGTGGATGGTGTTGAATGGATGGCTTAGTAAGGAAATTACATTCGCTGCAAAATTTCTGAAATGTAGTAAAAGTGGAAGGCTTTAACAGTCTGTCTTGCCTTTTTTTTTTTTTTTCTTTTTTGCACGCAGGGATCTAAAACACTCAAAATGATAATTTTATGATCCTTCTGGAAGTATATACCCATTCCTTCTGTTCAGGGTCTGATAAAACTGGAATATGAACTATTAAAGGAGAACACTTTGAAATTTCTGGCCTTGTTTGGATTCTTTATGTGGGCTTTCCACTTCTTTAATTTCCTTTCCTGAATGTTTAAGCTGGTTTTCAGAACTCATCCCTGCTATGTGTTTCTTCATATTCAATAAAGACAGTATTTTTATCTTGGACAACTTCAGCACATTCTAGCAAGGTTTAAGTTAAGTATATTAACATCCTTCTTACACCCCTTAAAGATGTAAGGGGAAATCTAAGCAGCTGTGTCAGTCCTCAGAAGTCCACAGTGCTGCTAGAGGGGCCTAAGAGTGCTGTTAAGCAAGTAATACTTCTGTTAGAGATTCTTCTATACCTATTATGCTTTCCTTATAAGTGCTCTGTAGTGCCTAAACCTATGGTCTGCTTTTACAGGAAAGTAGACTAGGAAGCTGGACATGGAAGTGACAGAAAAGCTCTTTTTTGATACACGACAGGTCGATGACTGACTACTAATGTGTTCTTTCAGGCCCTTCAAGCTCCAGCGTGCCACGAGAATCTTGTAAAAGTAGGTGGCTACATCTTGGGAGAATTTGGAAATCTGATAGCAGGTGATCCAAGATCAAGGTAAAACACCTTCTAAAGTACTGAACTGAAGTAGTAACACTTTCTGTAAAGAATCTAATGTCTATTTATATTCCTAAAGGCCAGTTAACAAATGACTCAGCTCTTGCTAGTAATGCATTAAGAATTATCATGTCTACAAAAAGCAAATTCTTTTTCTTCCCATCTTTTAAGTCCCCTCATCCAGTTCAACTTGCTACATTCCAAGTTTCATCTGTGTAGTGTTCCTACCCGAGCTCTGCTTCTGTCTACCTACATCAAGTTTGTGAACCTGTTTCCAGAAATCAAAACTACAATTCAAGATGTATTGCGCAGTGACAGTCAGCTAAAGAATGCTGATGTTGAGCTGCAGCAGAGAGCTGTTGAGTATTTGAGGCTCAGTACTATTGCCAGTACTGATATACTGGTGAGTATTTTTAAGATTTTTATTTTTTTTTTTATTATGCAGAATTCTTTAGCTGTGTCTTTCTGTCAACAAGTAAACTCCACTAAACTTTGCCTGATTGCTCAGCAATCTTAATGCAGGATTAAGGATCCACAATGTGGGTGCTGATTCTTTTAGTCTGCCTAATTCAGCTGCAGTCATCTTTAATTTAGAGCTAAAATCAAAGTTGTTATTGCTTTAGTGGGAAAAATGACTGTTAAAGCATGCTAATCTGGAGCTGGGAAGCCAGTGAAAGCTGACATAGTACAGGGTCCTACAGTATTCAGACACCAAAAGGCTAGTGCTTTGTTTTGAGGGCTTACTCGATGGTGGGCAGGAAACTTATAACTGTGCTGAGTTGTTGGGGTTTTTTTTTGTCTTTAGAAGTTCACAGTGTTTTAATATGATGCTCTCAGTTCTGGCCAGAGCATGGCACTCTTAGTCTTGACAGCTAATGAATGCTTAGGTCTGACTAGATCCTTGGGTAATCTGTGGTTTCAGTATAGGTCTGCTTGACTTAAGGACTACTAGGTCTGCTATGATCTAATTTTTTTTTTTTTTTTTTTTTTTTTTTATTTAATAGCACTGTACCAGAGAAGTGATATGCTCCTGTTCTCTTAAACAACTGCTTTGGGAGGACTTCAGAAAGTTCTAAATAATTTTTTTTTTTTTTTTAAAGCAAGTCTACTCCATTACTGTATAATAAACTGCAGTCATTTTCTGTATGGATAATTACTGCTGCTTTTGGTCATGCAACCTATAAGGGTGTATCTCTTCAAAGACTCAGAAGCTGGTTTGGCTTTTTCTGTAAACTTAACTAATACACATTTTTTCTGTGATAAGGCCACAGTGCTGGAAGAAATGCCTCCCTTTCCAGAGAGGGAATCTTCTATTTTGGCTAAACTCAAGAAGAAGAAAGGCCCAGGCACAGTTACTGACCTGGAAGAGATCAAAAAGGAGAGGAGCTCTGATATGAATGGAAGCGCTGAACCTGCCTCTGTCAATGCCAGTGCTGTTGTGAGTTTAAAAGCTGTTACTTCACTAATTTAGGTGGCGCACGCATGAGGAAAGAATGGTTTCCCTAAAGTGTCTTTTTAGGTGTTTAAAGCTTCTCCTCTCAAATTTAAGACTGTAGGCGTTTGCTATAAAGTAGCAAGGGAACATACAGCTGCTTTCCTGCTACTGCATGCTTGGATGCAATTTTCCTTTGGAAATATTATGTAAATGGACCAAACTGTCTGCAGCCTAAAAAGAATCCCTGTTACATTGTTACTTTGAGAAATATTGCTGTGAATTTAGAAATGGGAATTTCCTTCCTAATGAAACTGCAGTGAAGGTGAGATGATAAAATTAACATATATAAAAGGAGTAACTTGAATTTCAAAGCATCAGCTGTTCTTCTGCGTTGTCTAACGTGGTAGATACTTTGCATCTTGCAACCCGAAGGTTGTTACTGTTTTTACTAGAAGTGGACAACACTTGACTTAACACGGATGTCCTTAAATCAATACAATATTGTTACTGTTTATTTGACAGTACTATTTGAGTTCAATTATGGTAGACAAGGCCACAGTCTTATTTCTTCTGACCTGAAACTTCTCATTTTATTATCAATTAAAGCTGATAGGATGAATTGTTCCCATAATGTAATACTTGTTTCTGGTTTTAATGACTAGCATAACTTGTAATTACATTTGAGATACCTAAAAGGAGGAAATACTGTAGCACACTTCCTGCTCAGTTTGCTAAAGCATAATCCTTTAACTCTTAGTCACTGCAGTATGTAAGAGTAGATGTTCCAAGTGCAGCATCTTTGAATGGACAGAAATACCTTCCCAGCAGAAAAGTTGCCAAATTTTTTTTTGCGTGCAAAATTGACTGTGGTGACTGGCAGTTAAAATGGTGTTACGCTTTAAGAGCTTTACTTTGTGGGTTGTAGCCATGTCAGAAGCTCTACTATTTTACCTTCATCAATGGCTTTGGTGTGACCCTGGCTTAGACGCCAAGAATATGTTCTAACTGTTTGTTTTCAGTAGTTCTTACTGATTGGCGTCTGCAAATTTTTTGCCAGGGAATTTTTTGTTATACTGCATCAAATTTGGTCTGGAGTATATGACAGCTTTGAGTTGGCTTACAAAAACAAAATTTCAGACTCATCCAGATGCATCTCATGAGTCATCTTCAGTGTATCTGGCATATTGTAGGCTGCTAATGTCTAATGTGTGAACACTTTATTTAACAGTCTGTGCTTTGTTCTTGCACATGACTTGGGCACATATGTGAAGCCTCTGTTGTATGATTCTCTGTCCTGGCTACTTGATTGGTTCTATTTAAGGAAAAAAAAATTGTAAAGGTCTTGCCTCTGCCTTTAACGTTTGCAGCTTGAACTAGTTACAGGCTCTGCTTTTTTGCTGGTTAGGTTTTACATTGTTTCTAAGGTTTGCCAAGCTTCAAAAACACAAGACTAAACTGTTAGTCAATTTTAAAGGTGCTGTTATGTTTTAATTTAGGTTTGTGTAAAAGCCACTGCCTTGATGGATTCTTCATGAAAGAAAAGCAACACATTTGAATTTTATTCCCTACAGTACTTAAATTCCCTTGAAACTAAGAGGGCGGAAGAGAAAGGGGAAAAACATTGTCATCTTTCTTCTGCAGAATCAGATTCTAGACAGTGAATTTTGGTTTTTTTATTTAATGGTTAGATGGATATAACTCTCATCAAACAAAAAAATGTGTACACATCTGTAAATGACCTTAAGTTGAGATGCAAAGTGATAACTGCATTCATGAAGCCTCCTACGTCCGTTCAAAGCTTCATTTGGGGTGGGGAGAGGCACTTTGCCGTACTTAGTTGTCTATGCAAAAGACAGCTTTGTTTTGGTTTTGCTGTAGTATAACACCAAAGTGTCTTGTCTTCCCTAGTCTACTCCTTCTCCATCTGCGGATCTGCTGGGTCTGGGTGCTGCCCCTCTCACCAATTCAGCTCCCCCACCGTCCTCTAGTGGTAGCCTGCTGGTGGATGTATTTTCAGATTCGGCTTCTGCAGTTGCACCTCTTGCTCCTGGTTCTGATGACAACTTTGCGAGGTAATTAAGTCACCCTGTAAGGAATCTGAAGAAGAATTTGTCTGTTAAAACAGCATTATAGGAAAAAATACATACAATAACTTTTGGTTTTGTTCCAGCTTATTGAATACATTCCTGGGTGGTAGTTGTGCAGCAAGAGAGGTGTTCTTGAACTCTGTGCTGGATGTGCTATCTTTATTGAATACTTCTCATGGAAAAACTGAGCCTGTAGTAATCAACCTGAGGATATTAGCCACACAGTATTGCCTAGTTTTCATGCTGGTTTTGCTTCTTTGTTAAACTAAGCTGCTTGTGCATCTCAATACATCTTGAATTTGGGTGTTATCTGGCCTGATATGAATACATTTAGTCTTACCTTATGTCCATAACGTATTCTTGTGTGTCTCCATTTATGGCAAGCTGATACTGGAACAGTGAGATGGATTATATTCCAGAGATGCTGTTTCTCAGAATTTCAAGATATAACTAAATTGTTCTGCTACTGTCTGACAAAACGGTGTGAAAAGGGGAAAAAAACCCAAGTGCTTTTTTTTTTTTTTATAAGGGGATTTGATACAGGTAGCTTCCTGACTGTGTTATCAGGTGTAGTGTAGGTGCAATGTGTTAATAATCCCTTTAATATTAAAAAGCCACTGTGGCTACACTCAAATGTTATTTAGCTAAAATTTTGGAAATAAGTAGTATAAAATCGCAGAATGTCTTTAAAAATCTGTCATCTTATTGGCCAAAGAATGTGTTACTATTGTTAAGGACCAACTTTTGAATGATGTCATGACAAATTTGCAATGCATCTTAATATAAAAGACATAATTAGTGAAACTAATCTGCTTGGATCATTGAGACTTTAATCAAAATTTTATACTAGGCAATGCATTGTTGCAGGCTTGCAGTGATTTAAGACTTGATCCTGTGTTTCTCTTGGAAGGCAGTAAGTGATATTTAATCATGCTACACAATACCAAGGTTTTAAGAAGCTACACAAGCTTGTTGCACCTTTTTTTTTTTTTTTTTTTTTTAAAGAGGATAAAGAAACCAATACGAGTAGCTTCATAAGCAAAAGTTACCTAAAAAGTTTTCTCTTTCTGCAGAAGAAAATATAGCATTGCCCAACCCCTTGGTCTGTCTGTAGATGATGAAACGCTTCTCTAATGATACTGAGAAGTTGCTTTTTACAGTTTCCTGCCTCTCTTTAGTGCTGTTGTCACTTTTGTTTCTAATCTGTTACTTGGGTAAGTCATTCTCTGTGTGCCTGTATATTCTTGCCTACACTTAATACTTGTGTGTTTTTAAGAACTGATTGTGCAGCTGTAGTTAGAAGTGCCACTCAGCTTGATGAGGCCTCTGCTTCAAAGCACATATTTCTAGTAGTTAATATACATCTACATTTATGGTTTTGAACTAAAACTTCTTTGCTGTCACAATTAAACACCTAAAAGGACTTGGCTGTTTAAGAGGTATAAGTTTAAGCTACTGAACACCTTTAGCTGTCTCCTGTCTTCGGGAAGAATTGCTGGTTCCTAGCAATCAGGGAGGGGTGGGGTGGGGGAGAGAAGTGGGGGAAAACATTGCCTAATGCCTAAAACCTTTCTAGGTGTACTGAGCTAGGGCAGCTAATAAATTTTTCATGCATTAAACTCAGCAGTGCCATTTTTGAGGAAGGAGGTAAAAGAAATAACTAAGCACTAAGCTGTCTTTACTAACTCCTGCTATCTCTGTCGCTACTGCCTTTCTTCCTTTGTGCTGCCTGAACTAGCCCTGACCTGGCTTCATCTGAGGTAGTTTCTGAGGAACCAGCTGATACTGTGCATGATGCTGATGAGCTTTTTCACAAGTAAGCAATACTAAAACCTTGCAAGGCTGGGCAACTTCCAGAACATAGTTATAAAGCAAAACTATACTGTGCATTACCTTAATACCAGCAAAACTAGAGAAACATGTACTGTCAGACTTGTGACTAGAACACCTCTGTAGATGCTGTGGATTTTATGACAAGCTCATGAGTACACAGGTTAGAGTTGCCTTTATGAGTCAGTGCTATCACACACTGCTCTAAAACGAGGCAATGCCTCATGTATAACTTATGTATATTAAGTTTTACAACTATTCACAAATAAAGGAAAAACATTAAGAGAGTAAATTGTCAAAAGTACTGATATTTGGGAGTATGTTTTAAATGCCTTGTATGCAAAAGGCTGATGTTTGCTGACCACCTCTTCTACTTCTACGTGAAGGGCGACAGAAAGGACTGAAATCACTGCAGAATGGGCTTCCTCTCTCAAAATGAAAAAACAAAAAAACAAACCAAAAAACAAAACCAAACAGCTCTCAGTTGACTTATGTGACACAGAACTGATAAAACAAGGGATTCTTTTTTTCTTTCAGGTTTAAACAGTCAAAGCTTCAAACTTTTCAATTCTGCACCAACCTAATGAGTTTCAGAAGTTGTCAAGAATATCAATAAGAAAAATCCTAGTCTGTTGCCTGGTCCTTTACAGACAATGTGTGTGTATATAGCGTATTGTGGCTTCCTTCAGTTTCTCAGACATTCTATCAAATAAAAATTTCAGTTCTTTTGGTGTCCTACAAGTGGTGGTTTTGGTTGTAAAATTGTCTCTTCTAACTCTGCAGTCTTCTGCAAAGGCCTCTCTCACAGACTGATGCACTCTAGGTTAACCACAATCTTCATCCTCTGTGTAAACCCTGAATTTTGTGGTTCTAAATATTGTTTAATATCGCTCAATTTAAAACACATTTTCCCTCTCTTCCTCTAGGTTTGTGTGTAAAAATAATGGAGTCTTATTTGAAAATCAGCTGCTACAAATTGGGTTGAAATCTGAATTTCGACAGAACCTGGGTAAGATCTGTCAGGCCAAGTGGTTAGCTGTCTGCATTATCAACCCCAATGCCAGCATGATATTGCAGATGGGACTTAATTTTCAGCTGCTTAAGACGGAAATGTGATTTCAGGCCTAGCCTTTCTTAGGATCTTCACTGTTTTTGTGTCCCCGGCTTCTGTGTGGGTTCTTGTTTCCTTAAACTTTGTGATTGTTTTGGTAGCTGAGATGAAATGGGAGTGTTAAGTGGTACTGTAAGCTCCAGCTCTGGCTGCCTACTTGTAAGGCTGGTACAGCCAGGGTTATAAAGGACCATTCTCCTCAATTTTTGCATCTTACAGTATAGCTTATTGTACTAATATGATACACAACTCAGGCATGTCTATCGTAATACATTAACGCACAGGACACTGAAAACATCTAGGAAAGAGCTGGCCAGCACTAGAATCACTTGGTTCTCCCCTTCTGTATCACTTCTGGTACCATAATAGCTTCTGTACATAAAAAGTAACGTTCTCCAGCAACTGAAAGAATTCCACTGATTATTTAACTGCCTGTGTGACAGGTGCTTTGAGAGAGGTCTGGTGGTTTGTTTTAATCTGTTACTTCATTTTGAACTGTGAATATTTTGGTAAGATAAGCCATGTAAATTATGCTTTGTTTTTAAAAGTTGTTTTAAAGAAAGGCAGAAAGACAATGTATTAGATGCTTGAAGTACAAGTAGTTCACTATGATTACATGTGGCAAATCTAAAAATACTGATGTCTTTTATTCTGTTCTCTCTAGGACGTATGTTCATATTCTATGGTAATAAGACGTCAACACAGTTCTTAAATTTTACTCCAACAGTAATCTGCTCAGATGACCTACAGTCAAATATCCTTAAATGCAGTAGCATGTGTCTGTTCTTATTTGGGTTTTGTGGTTTATGCCACACAAAATTATAATAAAGCTGCTGGATCAAGGCATGGTGTCCTTGAACATGAAGAAATGAGAAACTTTCTGATAAGTTTCTAAAGTTCTTGCCGAAAGAACAAGTCTTAGCAGAGGTGGGAAATTATCTCCTTAAAGCTATGGTTACAAACACAAACTGTAATGTTGAAATAAGGAGAAATGAGGCTGAATTAATATGTAATGTAACTCTGTAGCTTCCTCCGCTGTCATGAAGTATCAGGGGTTTAGATGTGGTGTCCTTCAAGTCTAGCATTAGCAGGCAACCTCAGACTTCAGATGGAGGTAGAAGAATACATGAACACAAAGATGATGATATTTTAAACTGATCTCTTAATTTACAGTTTGTCCTTAATGCTTGGTATTGCAAATTGAGGATTTCAGGGAGATTACGTAATCAAACTTGTTTGACTGAAAGCATCACTGTAATGTTCACATCAAAAGGAGATAGTCCAGTGGTTTTTATTGCGAAGTCTGTGCCTTCATACCTTTTTGAGGACAGCTTTTCTTTAAGAATATCCAAATAACTGAGATTTGTGGGGGTTATTGCTTCTAGGTGTGTCAGTATGAGGGGAAAAACATAGAGAGAATGAGTGCACATGATGCTAATTCTTCACGTAGCTTATGGGAGGATTTGCTATTTTTTTTTTTTTTTTTTTTTAAGTTAGCAGTTCATTGATCAGTTTTCCTTAACCACTTCTTATGCCTGAATCTTCAGACAAAACCTGTTGACCCCACAGTGGATGGAGGTGCACAGGTTCAACAGGTTGTGAACATCGAATGTGTGTCAGACTTCATGGAAGCTCCAATCCTGAACATTCAATTCAGGTAAAACGCAGGATTCAAATGCTAGTGAATTAATTAGATTAAAGATGTTAAATTCCTCCTGGTTCTCTGACTGAAGTGTTGAATATGGACACATAAAGCTGTCTTGGATAGACGACTTGAAAAAGTTATCTAACTAAGCTTTAAGCTACTAGGGGAGATAGGGAATCCACTTGGAACAATGTGGTTTAAAAAAAAAGACTAACCAAGAAGCAGCTACTGATAAAGTGTGTCCATGACTTCTCTTTCCGCTCTCCGTATAAAACAGCAGTCTTCCTGTTTGCTTAAGAAATCTTGTCAGGAACATACGCAGTAACTTCTCCCTTCTGGAAACCAAGAACATTTCTGCAAACAACAGGGACTGGAAATGTATGCAGCCAAAAATAGAATCTTATGTCCACTCAACATCAGCCTTTGGGAAATCCTAATTTCTGGGCCACATTTTGTTATTCTAGTCTAAACTGGTTCTTCCTGGTGTATTTTCACAGGGATATAGTTTCACTCCTTTGATGGGTGCTATTTAGAAGAATAACAACCTATTTGAAACTGAGAGATCCTTACTAGAAGTTCTGCCAGTTCACTTCCATGTGCCATCTAAGCGCAGCAAATAAATTTATTTAACAGTGGATTAAAACTGTATCTTAGAAATAACTTTATCTGCAGTTGATGGTTTTTAATCATAAACAATTGCACCTTAGTGTTCATCCTCAGTTGCTTGGTTGATTTAGGCTGAGATGGTGACTCTGTACCGCGTACACAGTGTTCTTTCCATTCCATGTACAGGTATGGTGGAACATTTCAAAATCTTTCAGTAAAATTACCCATCACACTGAACAAATTTTTCCAGCCGACAGAGATGTCTTCTCAAGACTTTTTTCAGCGTTGGAAGCAACTAAGCAAGTAAGACTTTATCTATACTTGGGGTTGGGGCTCTTGTGGTGGGCCAAGGGAAGAAAAAGGGTATATTGTGAATGTAGCTGGTGTAGTGCCCCATCCCATACTTAATCCTGTGAGTTATAAACTGTCCCAATATAATTAGTTGCTATTGAACAATGCTGTACATAATACACGTGTTATACTGTGTATTCATATTGCCTTGTCTTGCAGTCCGAAACAAGAAGTACAGAATATCTTTAAAGCAAAACACCCAATGGATGCAGAGATCACAAAAGCAAAGGTGGGTGGTAGTGTGGTATTTTTAATTGATAGCTTAAGGGTAGTGGCGTAAGCAAACTTTGTTCATCTTGCTTTACATGGCAATTGGATCATCCTGGTAAAGTGTATCCATGTCGTCTAACAGACCCTTGGCAGTGCTGGGTTGAATGGACTGTTTCTCAGTGTGGCTTGAATTAGATATAGTTTTCAATAGCGGCTGGAAACTTGAAGCTATTTAAGAAAACACCAATTCAGTGCCTAAAACTGAATTGGGAGATACTTCAAGCATTAATTTATACTAGAGTTACCCATTAGAAAAGAAAAGAAGTGACTTTCTGTAGAACTGTTGTCTTTAATCAAAACGGAAGTGACTAGTGTAAGACAGGAATGGCTTTACCAAAACCAGGAGAGACTTATGTGGAATCTCTTTTCTCAATTGTTTTCCACAAGAATCTTTTTTGTCAGGAACAGCTTGTTATCAGGGTCATTCTGTCACTTCAAAAGTTCGTTGTAATTGCATCGATATTGGATAATTCTTTGATGTCTTGAACACTTCAAATAAAAATTAGTCTCCTACTTGTTTTGCCAGTTGGTGGTGGCTGTGCTTGGGCAGTACTCGGTTGGTATTGGTGTCCCACTGTCCCCATATCTAAATCTTCTGGGTTTCCTTCACAGATAATTGGCTTTGGATCAGCCCTACTTGAGGAAGTAGATCCCAATCCTGCTAACTTTGTTGGTGCTGGCATCATACATACAAAAACTACTCAGATTGGATGCTTGCTGCGCCTTGAACCCAACCTCCAGGCACAGGTATCTGTTTAAGTATCTACAGCATAAATACAAGTTCTTGTTTGAACTAAATATCTGTGTATAACTGAAACTCCTTAAGATATTTATTTAAAAATCACTATTGCAATAGCTGGTTGTGACTGCAGACTCCAACAAGAAATTAAGTTGTAGCAGCTGGTCCTGTCCCAGCTTAAGTTGCTTCTTCATAGCAATTCTCTTTCCTGTTGGAAGAGATCCTTGTATTATTTCACACTGTCCATGGAGTCTCATCTTCTCCTGAAAGTTGGGAACATTTCATGTTTCTGTTTGGTGCGCCTTGAACAAGATTAAGTATAATTCCCTTTGCCAATTTAAGTTAATAAAAGAATGACTGGCTGAAAGAGAAAACATAAGCAAATGAACACAATGCTAAGAATATTTTTGCTCAAGCATTTTGATAGAGGTTTTATCAAAGTTAACTGGAGGCTAAAATTAAATTTTGGGTGGTAAGTCTCCTGTTTTCTGAAGAAGTGGTGGTAGACTTTATACTTTTCCACAACATTTACTCCTCTTGAAGAAAAATTTTGGACAACACCTTGCTGTTAAAGCTTAAAAATATTACAGTAATGGTAACTCTCAACAAGGGTTTGAAGATGTACTCCAGCCTGTGGTTTGAAAAAGCTGTATTTTACTCAGTGGTTGGCTCTCTCTGAATGTTTTAACTGGAGGTCTTTTTCCTACCAAACCTAACAAAGTAAGAAAGAGGCAACTGGTAGCTTTTGCTAGTTGTCTGTACATTCACTTAATGCTAAACTGTGTTTTAAAAAGTAAATAATATTTTATGTTCTTTTTCAGATGTATAGGCTCACACTACGAACAAGTAAAGAAGCTGTATCTCAGAGATTATGTGAATTGCTGTCAGAGCAGTTTTAATATTAACCATGTCAGTTTGGGTTTTTCCACTTATATCACTGTCATCATACTGCAAATAAATGTCTTGTACATCACTGTCTGAGTACTGCAATGTTAACCAATACCAGCTCCCTGCCTTGACCCTTGTTTGAAATTAAGACTATAAAATGTACAGTACAGGGAAGTGACTTTTTACATTAAAAATGGCTTTTACTGTGTTACACAGAGGGTGGGAGGGCTGTCTTTTGCTCCTTTTTTTTTTTTTTTTTTTTTTTGCAGAGGTCAGGCTTTTAAACTTGTTAAAGGGAAATTGATTTAGATGTGGTAACCGAGGATTTCAACTGGAAATGGCTAGTAACATCCTGCATTAGTGCCTTTAACAGGTACTCCCTCTGCTCTGAGCGGAAAGAAGCCAATGTAGGGATAATTCAGATGTTAATGTAGAGTCAAAACTTTGTAAGCTGAACATTGGCCCAAGTCTTGTACTAGATGCAAGGGCAGATGCGAAGATGCACTTGAATCAGATTCAAGTGAACATTTATGTTGAGTGTCGCCAATCTTTGTATTTGAAAAATGCCACAGGACCAGAGTCTTAAAGTATTAATCATGTAATCATTTACATCTTAATGTTTTCTGATCTTTGGAAAGTGGATTGAACACAAAAGCTATTCTTAATCCTCTGCTCATCTCACCTAATGAGGTGAGCTTCTCTGGCGGGTGGTGAATCAGTACATGCTTGTTCATTGTTAGTCAAACTGAAGTTAAATATTCTGTTCTGTGTTTTTTATTTCCCATCAGACTTGGCAAATAGTAGTCCTGATGATGTGATATAACTAACTGTAGAGTCTGGTAAAAGGAAAAGTGGGAAGAAATGGGCCCTTGAAGGGCTGTAAGGCATGCACTCTTTTAGATGAAAATGTAATTTTAAACAATATTTTTTCCCCAGTGTACAGTAATGTTAAAACTTGAGAGGTTGAATAACTGATATCTGAAGAGTTTCCTGTCTGTCAGTGGTGGTGAAAATATCCAACGTGGTGTAGCAGACTTGTGTTGCGACTGAGAGTAGAAGGCCCCAAATTGTTCAGCTTTTATAGTGTTTTCTACAAACAAAGCCTTTCACTTGTTCCACATCCGCAAACTCTTTGCAGCCTCTCTGCAGAAGTGGGTGGACACAACTTTGGCTCACGCTCTTCCAGCCTCGAGACGCAAGAAAGGCTGCTAAAACAAAGCAGGTGAGGTAGTGCAGTTAGAAACTGCGGGCGGTTGGCAGCAAGTACTGCAGGTCGTGATGAATGAAGTCAGCTGCTGCTGACGTGAGAAGTGAACCTCAGATCAAGATTTCCTGAAGGTTATTTAAAGGAAGCCTGGGACTGGTGTCTCACAACACATACAGCCAAGTACGCCCATGAAATAAAGGTTTTGAGTGATAGTGATGACCTTGAAAATGCATTTAAATGAGGCTCCTGTCATGCTGCCCAGTGCACAGCAGGGGATGGGATTCTACATGATTGAGTGTGCCTTGCTTTTTTTTTTTTTCAGTGCTTTGAGTTAAATGATGGAACTGGGTGATTATGGTTTGGTTGAAGGCTAGCGATCGTACTTGAGCGAAAGTGAAAAACGTGGAACAAAGGTTTGGCTGTGGCGTGTGGATTTTGAGAGGTGCTTTGCTTTTCCAGAAATGACTGCTAACTATGGGATGTTATGACTGAAAACTTGGCTATAGACCTGGTCTTTCTGCAAACGTTCTCCTGAACAGTGGGCCCTTTTATGGCATTTCAGGTAGCTAAGCAAGACTCTTTGATCACAAACATTGTCTTTGAAAATCTTCATGAGCAGGTCCTGCGGTCAGGTTGGGCAGTTGGCAAAATACTAATGTAAAATACCTTATGTTTTGTCCTTTGGATGCCATATGTCTCTTTATTAGTCCTGTTATCTTAACCATGCTGTTGGCTGCTACGTTAAAAATCTGACGTGCTGAACTAAAGTGAGTCTTAGCAAAGACAGGGGAGGAGATTCTATTTCATTTTTCCCAAATCCTGTTGTATGTCCCCCTGAAAATGTTCTGTGCCCTCATTAAAGGACACCTTGAGACACTGCACTACTTTAGTTCACTTTGCTTTGGTTCAAGCTGTGCTAAAATGTGCATTAAAAATGTGGGAAGGAGGGGGGTAAGGGAAAGTGTCTTTTCAGTGGTGACTGTGTTAAGCTTATGACTGTTCGCACGTTGTATTAAATGTCAGCTCAATGAAGCCATAAGCAGAAAAGTGAACAAATTAAGGACAAATACTTGATTATTTTTTTTTTTTTTTGTGAATGATGGTTAACTTACCAAAGTGATGTATCCTGTCAAGCAGACAAAGTAATTTCTGCAGTAAACAGTGTTATTGTTTTTAAGTACAGTATTTTCAGGCATTGACATGTGAAAATAACTGAATAGCAAAACAGGTAGCATATGTTCATTCTTGACCTACACTCCAGTATGTAACATGGTGATTGTCTTATTTGTATAAAACAAAGTTCTGTCAAATGAAGTGGAGAATTTTCATATAGAAGACTATATATTAGACTATATTCATCAGAAGGACGTATTAAGACTAAATAAATGATTAGAACAGTAATCAAACTGTCCTTTTCTCTTTTTCTGGGGGCATGGAAGTGTAAAGAATACTTGCATGGCAAGGTTCTTGCGGAACAACAACTGATAGGTAACGGTAAATCCTTTTCTGCAAACTGCTGGTGGGTTGTGTTCGGTTGAGTTGTACCTGGCCTTGCAGATCTCTGCTCCCCCAGTGAGTTTGTGTATGGCTTTCTTGTGTGGTGTGTCTGGTCATATGTTACAAATACTCTGCTGTAAAAAAAAAAAAAAAAAAAAAAACAAAAAACCACCAAAACAACTTGATGTAAAATCTTTCTTCCCGTAGTGTTTTACAACAGTAACTGTATGAGCAGTACAGGCTGCAGGGAGCGAGTGTCACGGTGGGGTACGGTTGGGGCTGAAGCACACGCCTGTATTACAGGCAGGACTTGTAAAAAAAGTGATGTTGCTGTCAAAGGAGAGTATCTAAGCTGCCAGAAAACCTCCCTCAAGCTTCAGATTCTTAGTACTTCTCCAAAACTTGCTAAAAGAGAAAAAAATACCTGAGCACTATGAGCTTTTGTGCATTCATACAACTTTTTCTTAAATTAATTGCAAACGAAGTAGTAAAGAATATTCTGTACCAGCAGCAAGTAGAAATTGCTTGTGAGTGAACTACCTGTGTCCTGTTAGACACATACGGTCTTTGATTTCTTGCAGAGACATGTCCTGCAAATTCTTGCTTTGTCCAGAAGCCACTACATGTCTGCGTTAATGTGGTGGGACATTTCTCGAAATATCGTTACGGGTGCGTGCGGAAACCGCACCGTTGGCTTTTGGTTCGTGTAGCACCTCGCTTTCTGACAGGAGCTGCGCGTGCGTGACAAGCACAAGTGCCGTGTCCGTTTTCAAAAGAAACGAACAGGTCACCTCAGTTGTCTCTTCTCCCAGTGGAGTAATGGGCTATTCTGCAGGTCCTAGTTCGACTGTAGCGAACCTAATGGACTTTTCCGTTAAAATAATTGGTCACATAATGAGAAATAAGTTAGCAAATTCAATTCCTTCTACTTTATTTGAAAGTCAAACTTCTGTTGTTGTACAGTGCATACGCCAGTTTTTAGCCTCTGCTTAAATATCACCCTGAGCAAGGCCAGACAGTCTCTGACATTGTCTTCCAACCCCACCCTGCCCACTCTTTTTATTTTCTCCCCTGCACCACCCCCTCCTGCCCAACCCCCTCCTGATCAGGAATAATTTATCAATTAACATCATCGACGCTCCAGGTAGCTGCTCCGGAAGCCTCGTGGCAAGGCTAGCGTGTGTAATCAGTACAAGGGAACTTCCACGATGAGCAGCACGGTGGAAGTATTGAATTGTGATCAGTGTTTAATTAAAAAAAAAAAAAAAAAAAGAGGAATCAATTAAAGTTTCAGCTATTTAGCACAGTGACTGTCAGGTCTGCAAACACAGCCACTAAATACAATTATTTCTGTAACGAGCCTTTTCCCAGGGTTATCTGGGTCTTGGCATGGCAGCTGGAATTCCTTCTTAAGAAGCTGAAGTGGCCTACAGCAGCCGCATACGGTGTTGACCATCATCTTCTCAACACTCAGCCTGTTTGGAAGAGAGGGAGGGTGAGTTAGGATTTGTATACAGCACTTCAGGTTTACAGCTTTTCCAGTGTTTGAACATTGTTTTTTTTCTTGTGGTGGAACATTTGGAGGAAAGAGGACAACCATTAGAGTTTGACAGATCTGGCAACTACAGAACTACAAACAGTGCAGCAATTGACTCTCTGAAGTTCTCATGATGACAACCGCAGGAGTTAGGGTGTACTGAGCTTCTGCATTCCTTTTTAAGACTGATTTTTCAAGGGGCTTATAGCTACTAGGTCTCAGACCTCACTGAAAACTAGCAGGATTTGATTTCCCCATTCCCCTTTTGCACTTCTGAAAATCATAAAGTAACTGTGTATTTAAATTTTTTTAAAGCTGTGCGCTGGTCTAGTTAGAGTTTGCAAAAGGCCTCTGGTGTGATCTCTTAACCGAGATGCGAAATCGTGCCTGTTCCTTTGGCACCCTTCATGGGGGAAGGAAAAATCCCTTTCTTCCTCTGAACCAGAATCCAAGCTGATGACTGCGTAACATTATTTCTGGGCCATGAGGTCAGTAGCGGACCTGCGCGTATCTTGCTGAATTACCAGGGCTAAAGCACAGGCTGGTGAAGTGATAGCTTGAATAAGCAGGTGAGGTTTGAATTCTCTTCTGATAGTACTGTCCTTCTCTTACACTGTTGCTTTTCTGGCAGTGTTCAGCCAACTGTGCTGCTGGACTTGCTCCTATCTTTCTCTTTTTTTGTCAGTGGAAAGTTGTATAAAAGTAGGCTGGAACTCAGCTGTGGGAATGAGAGAGTTATGGAAGAAATATTTTTGTAAAAATCTCTGTAAAGGGGAAAAAAGTCAGCTTGGTTTCAGTTAAAACTTTTTTAACCACAGCTTTCTTAGGGACTGTGATGAACCTT